CTCTCTCTCTCTCTCTCTCTCTCTCTCTCTCTCTCTCTCTCTCTCTCTCTCTCTCTCTTCGTACCCCTCCGCTTCCCTACCCCTATGCCGCCATTCTCTCCATCTGCTCCTCGTTTCTACCCTCCCCTTCCTTCTCTAGCCCGACCCCGCCCCCCCGATCTCTTTTTCCCGACCTCGACCTCGAACCCCAAACCCAACCCAATCCCTCTCTCTCTCCCACTCGGATCCCGACACCATTACTCTGTCTCTCTCTCTCACCCTCTCTCTCTGCTCCCCTACCCCTCCACTCCCCTACCCCTCCGCTTCCATCCTCCCTTAGGCTATCCCCTCCGCGTTTTTTCCCCTCCCCCTCCTCTGCCTTTAACATCTCCCCCTTCTCTTCGTGCCCCCCATCCCGAGCGTCCTTCCCCCTACTAGCAAGCATAGAACTTGTCGGCCTTGCCTTCCCCCCAACACCCCCCACCCCCTTCCCATGCCGACTTTTTCAGAAAAAAAACAAAAACAAAAGAAACACCCACCCTTCCCTTCTCAAACCTCCTCGACAATCTTCCTTCTTTTTCTTCGTCGTCTTCATCTTCCCACACCATCATCCTCCCTCCCCCTCCTCTCCATCCTCCCCTCCCATGCCTTCATCGGTATACCCGCACCCAACCCTCCTAGCCATCCCCCGGCCTGTCACGCCCTCGCCCGACTTTTTTAATATGGCATGGGGGAGCGTGGTATTTTTGCTTTTTTTTTCCATCATGTATAATCAATCAATCAATCAATCAATCAATCAATCAATCAATCAATCACTTCATCGATCAAGTAACTACCTACCGTCGTCGTCGGTAGGTAGAAACTGTTACCTTGATCGATGAATTGATTGATTGATTGATTGATTGATTGATTGATTGATTGATTGATCATTAAAAATAATATTAAAAAAAAACATGGAGAAAACGGGAAAGATGAGGAGGATAGGAAGCATCAGCTGGGATGACGAGGGGAATAAGAAGAAGACCAAGGTCTTGGAGAAGAAGAAGAAGAAGACAATGTAACAGGGGTTGGAGGGAGGACGATGACGAGGAGCCGGGTCGGAGGAGGTGGAGAAAGAAAAAGAAGAAAAAAGAAGAAGAGGGGAAGAAGAAGAAGAAGAAGAAGAAGAA